ACAAGTCTGTTTCGTTAGTTACGACTTTTAAATCCAAAACAAATGTCTAAATGGTTCTATAAAACTGAGTTTAAAAGTGTCCATAAAAATTGTATATCAACAAAGAGGAGATTAATGTCAATTTTATTGATTCCTCCGTTGACCAAGACTAATGTCATACTCATACAACCACTTCCTTTTGGCAAATGCAGCAAAGCTGTAAGAGTGAGAGAGATAAAAAGGGATTAGTGCTAGTTAGTATCATTTTCAAAATATTTTAACAAAAATAACATTTTACAAAACTGCTGATGATATATATGAGAGTAAAAAAAGAAAAAGAAGGAAAAATCGATACTAACCTTACTGTTTTGGAACCAAGAACGAATGCAATCTTCGTGGTATTTGTGAGTACAGGGTAAAACCGTCATTTTTTCTCCCACAGCATAATCCGATTGGCATATCAGACACCTGTTTTTCCCACTCGCATTGTTATTAACTCTTAACTTCTTAACTATTTTCTAATCTCATGGATTAATGCATGAATGAATGTAAATAATTTTACAAAAAATATAGTAGTACTATACTTTTTATCTTCTATAGAAGGTTGAAACTTAATGTTAGGTAATTGAGAAAATTGTCTCTCTGTTAATCCTCCACCTACGTATACATTACGCTCTTGTGTACGCCGAACAATTTCCTGTGATATATTAAATATTTGAAGGAAAAAGAGATTAGAGAAATGAGATTGAAAGAAATTATAATTGTTCTAGGTATTCTTACTTCGGTTGAATGTTGGTTTGGTCGATCCGCAAAGTCATCTGCAACCGTATATTAGAGGTTAATTTAACCAAGTTTTGTTAATCAAATCAACTATTACTGACTATAACTAATCAAATAGCCCTCTAGACAATCTACTAACTAATCAAATATTATATATTCTTAGAGAGAACCGTAATAGTACATGTTATGGTCTCCGGAGTTGAAGAATGAGCTGGTCTTGGCTCATAACCCCCTAATTATATTAAACAAAAATTTGTTATGAAAAATCAAATATATATACTATAATTCAAATGTTTTTTTTTTTTTGAAATTTTGCATTAGATGATAAACCGGAAGTTGAACGAAGAAGCGAATTAATGGTCATGAAAAAACAAATATGTTTCATTATTGTTCATTTTTCTGAAAAAAAATTGCGTATAAGATGATAGACCTGAAGTTGAACGAAGAGGCGGGTTAGCGGCCACTGGGACGAGTATTGGTCTTGACCTCGGTCTTCTTGGTACAAAAAATCGCATCACCCACGGTACTAGAATCGATATCAAACGTTTCCAAAATGATATTTGGCGAATGTTACACATGGTAGGTTGGTTTTGACACTCATGACGAGTGCTACACATGGTAGGCCGGTTTTGATACTCATGATAATAAATCATATGAGAAATGTCTTGTGATGAATAATGCTCTGATGAAATGGAATTAAAAGGTAGAGACATGGTCGGTTGGTTTTGAAGTTGGTATTTGATCATAGGAGAAATGTATGATTCTGACGAACGCTCGCATGGTACTACGGGTTCAGGAGAATCATCGATTCTACTACGATTTCTGCATGATTCGGACGAACGCTCCCATGATACTACAGGTACTGGAGAATCATCGATTCTACCACAATTTCTGTGATATTCTTCGATTTTTTTGGTGATTGCATCAGCTTCGCCAAACAAGTAATCGTATCCACCACAACCTTCCGAATCACCCATCTTTTTATATGTTTTAAAAGGCTATAATATTTAGGAAATAGATGATATCATTGATCTTGTTGTGTGGAATGACTTTTTATATGTATCATTCTATTTCGTTAAATTGTTGCCGTGGTTGAGTCTTTAATTAGAGCATGTAGCTATGTTTAAGTTTAATAAATATGTGAGAAGGAGATCGAGTGATAAATACCTAAATAGATGGATAAGAGATTTATATGATCTCTAAGTGGTTGACATAAAAAAATTATATGTAATACAAATAAATTATGCCCAAAAAAAAATTGGAATACAGTAAATAAGATAGAGATGAACGAGGTACCGTATAACAAACAAACGAATAAATCATTTCCACTCCGTTCATCCACAATTTTCTTTGATTAATCAAATGTCAAAATTAATGTGACGATATAAGTCATATTGATCTTAAATCCTTATATTCTCTTAAAAAAAGAAGACATGGGATCATAAGATGATAAGGAAGAAAATACGGATGTCAAACTGAGTTAGCTCACTCGGTTCAAGTGATCTCATGATGGGTTAGAGTATTTCACGGCTTAACTTGACTCAGCTTATTTACTATACGAGCTTAAAAACATAAGCTCAAACTCAGATCATCAAAATCGCGATTTAAATGAGTTAGCTCGCGAACTAATACGAAATAAATGTAAAAATAAAATAATTAAAAATTAAACTATTATAAAATCTAAAATTAACTTTAAACGTTAAATATCAAAAA